TATGGCCCAGCCGCCCAGCACTCCGGAGTTGGCTTGTGGCCCTGGCCTCCCACAATAGATGTGGACCAGACAGGTGGGGCGCTGCAGTCAGCTGGGGGCCCACATTCCAGGGGCAGGCGGCTGAGCCTGGCTCAGTATCTGTCCTGCCCACACAGAGCACTCTGCTGGCCAGGAAGTGGATGACCCCCACCGCCCCCAGCCCCTGCCTCTGCCCTCCGCACTTTATGATGGACACAGGCCCAGACACTCACCCACTGGTCACTCCTTCGCTGATTCATGCAAACACTTCCAAGCACTTGCTCTACTCCACGTGTGCTGGTGAGCACCTTGCGTTCAGCTGTCAGGTGGAGGAAGCAGAGGCAGACAAGCTAATGAGGAAAGCAAAGGTCATTGTCGATGGTGAGGCTCACTGAGATAACACTGGAGTGTCCGGGAGAAAGCCCGAGGGGCAGTCCCTAAGGGTATGGTCTCGGGCAAGGGGGACCTTTGAGTAAATAAATGGAAGCTGGGACCCAGGTGGCAAGAAAGCTGGAGGAGCTCCTTGGAAGAGTGCTCCTAATTAGGCAGCAGAAGCAAAGGTACCAAGGCCTCTGAATTTTATCATCCAAGTAATAGGTAGCTATGTAGGGTTGTAGATAGGAAGAAGACCTGGTACCAGAATGAGGGTTGCTGGATACCCTACCCCTTTGAGTATCCAGAAGACTGAGCTGGCCTTTTCAGAGGTAGAGGGACCAGGACAGAAGAAGTGCTGAGAAAGGACTTTTCCCCCACTCCCACAGGCTCAGAGGCTCTGGGAGGCCCTCACTCTCCAGGCACTGGCAGGAACCACACCAAGCCCAGGCCCAGGCCCCAGGCTGGTGTATGTGGGGTGAGCTCAGGTGGTTTTCTGAGACCCAGAGAAACCAGTGCCCAGGGCTGGGGTCCTGCCCTTCTTCCCCAGGTCCACAAAATGGGCGTCCCCCTCGAAGGCCCCCTTGAGGACTTGTGAGTCCCTGCCCTTGAGCCCAGTGTGCCTGGAGCCAGTTCCTGGCCTCTGGACCCCAAGCCAGCCCTGTAGTCACTGAGGGATCACAGACAGAGTCCTTCTCCTCTCAGGATAGGGCTTGGTTGCGCTGGAGACAGGAAGAGCCCCAGCCTGAGTAACCAGAACCTTCACCACCACAGCAGGTCGTTGCCTGTGATCCTGGGGCGCCCTCTGGTGGCCGTGAATGGTCCTGAGGCTGTCTCTACCGCTATGGGAACTGGAGCGGGAAAGCCTTGGGCAGGGGGCTTTGGGGCCCCTTCAAGAAGAGATACACCGAAGTGTCATCCAGGCTCTTCTCTGTATCTACACCCTTCCTAGAAAACAGCTATTAGGATCCTCATTTTACAAACAGAAATGGAGGCCTTCTAATGGAGGAGCTTGGGGTGCTCAGGACAGGAACTCAGGACTGGGGCCGCAGAAGGCAAGGACTGTCCCCACCACACTGTCCTGCCTGGACATGGGGACAGCCCTCCCACAGCACCCCTGTGCTGCCTGACCAATGAGTGGACGTCACTTGCTCTCACCCACAGCCACGTGCTTTCCAAGGAGAGCAACATACCCACCATGGGACCCATGCTTGAGGCGTCCAGGGCCGCTGCGGGAGGCTTGGTCCCTCGTCCTCCCCATCTCCCTGGGACAACTGGGCTCAGTGCCCAGAGGTGGGCCACGTGCCACAGGGCAGCTCTCGTTCCCACTGGCCAGGGGGACTGACAGGGTCACCTCTCCCAAATGGGTGTGGCCTCGGGGCCTTGGGGAGAGGTTGGCCCTCAGTGGCTGGGTGGTGCCCTGTGTTTGTTCACGACCAGCTTCCCAGGAAGGCCTTGGCTGCCCAGGTGCCAGGCGCAGTGGACGGGAGGAGGAGGAAGAGTGAAGGTGCCCGGCTTCAGGACAGCCTGCCTGTGGGTAGACGGCTCCTCCCTCCTTGGCCATCAACCGCACCAGGGAGAAAGCAGGCAGGTAGGGCCTCAGGTGGGGAACATGGGCAGGGAGGTGCCCACCTCCTACTGGGCAAATAGGGCAGGTGGGCAAGAGGGGAGCTGGGCCAGTACTGTGGCTGCAGCAACACCCTTGCCCTATTCTTTTGTTTCTTCATCTCTGGCCGGGGGGATCCCTCCTTCCTGGGATGGGAGGTACAGGCCTACTGGGTGAGGGAAGGGGCCACTAGTGTTGGGAAGGGTCTGGGTACAGGGAGATCCCACAAGTATGAGCCTCAGACTCCAGGGACGGCGTCTGCTCAGGGGCCAGGGGAGGCAGGAGGGGCCAGAGGTGAGCCAAATGGTCACTGTGAGAAGGTTGGGCTGCCGGGTCACAACTGCGTGCGCAACCACAGCCCACCCAGGGAGACCAGGGTCCTCACTGGGTGGCCAAGAGGCGGGACGCTGACTTCGCATCTGCTGTATTCTGGGACCTTTCCATTTCCTTCCTGTCACTGCCCATCTTCCCGCATCTCACAGGTGAGGCCCAGGGAGACTGGGGAACCTGTTCGCAGTCACAGCTGGGGGGACAAACTGGGCCAGCCGCCCTGCTCTGCCCACCATAGGCCCCTGCACTGCCAGGGAGAGTGGGCAGGCATGTTCACCTCCAGCTGTTTCTATGATGGCCTTCGGGGAGCAGGGGCCATTGGTCTTGGTGCCTTCACTGCCCAGGGCCCAGGGTTCTGCCTTGGTTTTGCTCTCAGAAGTGCCAGGACAGGGCCAGGGATTTAGCTCAGTGGTTCCGCTGCCTGCTTTGAAAGTCCCAAGTTCTATTCCTGGTATCAAAACAAAAAAGGAAGAAGAAGTGGTTCTGGGACAAGACTCTGGCCAGGGGCTACCTAGGTCCCCAGCTTCCCCCAGCTCCCCACCCTTCCAGGAACACACAGGGGAGGGGGTACCAAAGATCTAGACACCTGCTCATGCAAATCCTCCGTTTGCATAACTTCCCTCTGGGGGGCCATATTTGCCTGGGGCTTGGCTCCTGCCCAGCTGCCCCTTTGCCTAGGCGCCTGGCTGAGGAGAGGGCTATGGGAGGAGGGTGTTTGTCGTGGTCCCCAGGGATGATGAAGCTACTGTATCGGCACTGGGCCTCCCCACTGGACTTCCACACCAGCTTCCAAGGATCCACACCTGACCTGTAGTGAAGAAATAAGTGACCTGGGCTGTGAGAAGTGACCAGGGTGCAGACTTAAGGCCCATCCCCACCTCCCACGATCTGCTCCCCAGTGGGACTGAGAGGGACCCCAGGATGATGAGAGCTCACTGAGAAGCCAGGGCCCAAGGGAACCCTAAAGGGCCCTATGAAAACGAGACTGCCCACCGCCTTTCCCAGGCTGAGGCTTGGGGGGAGGCAAGGACATCACTGTCCATCTGTCCACCCCTCTGTCTCAGGCTGAAGCTTCGTACCATGGGCCAGGGGACACACCCAGCTTTGCACACCCTTCCACAGGGCACAGGGCACAGGATGATCCTTTCTTCAAGCAGCAGGGGCAGAATGATGCCTACCCAGAGCCTCACACAGCGATCTTGTTGGGAAATAGGGTCTTTGCAGATATGATTGAAGGAAGATACTGCCTTGATCAAGTGCCCACTGTCCTTAGAGGAGGGGAGAGGACACAGAGATACAGGGAAGACCATGAGACTACAGAGGCACAGGTGTGATGTGCCACAAGCCAAGGGATACCTGGAGCTCCGTAGCTGGAAGAGGCAGGACACACCTTGCCCTGGAGTTTGTTGGGGAGCAGCCTTGCCCCACCTTGACCTTGGACTTCTGCCTCAGAGCTGTGAGGACTCAGATTCTGCTGCATTAGGCTCGGTGTGTGGTCCTTCGTTAAGGCAGCTGCAGATGAAAATACAGAGCCCCCACTCTCAGCCAGGGCTGGTCCTCAGAACCTGCTTCAAGCCTTTTCTGCAGCTCCAGAAGGCCATTTTCAATCTTGTCCCTCTACAACCCTGGGGGCTAAGGTACTGCTCTGGGAGTGGAAGGAGGCAGGATTTCCTTCCCCTTGAGCTGGACACCCCAGGCAGCCCAGAGCTCAGCATGGTGCCAAGACAGAGAGGCTTGGGATCAGACCCCAGGCACAGGCCCGCAGAGGGTCTCCATCGGTGCCCTCTGGCTGATCTCACACGGGTCCACAAACAGGAACATACTCGCAGTCTTCTGTCTCTCTTTCCAGCCTCCCGCACACACCTGTGTTTTTCCTGTTTGTGATACAGGAGTGAACCTGTCCTTCTCGGTGAGGTACATTCCCAGCCTTTTTAATATTTTTAAAAATTTTGACACAGGGTCTTGCCAAGTCACTAAATTCCCCATGCTGGGTTTGAACTTGCAATTCTGCCTTAGCCTCCCAGAGGGCTGGGATTATGTGTGTGCACCACCAAGCCAGCTTCATCTTTATTTATCTGAATCACATTTGTGAAGACCCCTTTCCCAATAATGGCTACACTTGCTGATACCAGGGGTTAGACTTGGGACATAGCTTCCTGTGGGACATGTTCTTTATGGGGAACCCAGCGACTGTGCTGGCTTCTGGTGGGCAGTGGGAAGGGCTCAGCCTTATTCCCTACCCCAGGGCAGTCCTGGAGTAGTGGAACATATCCTTGTAGTGCCTGACATCACCTGGTCCTCCCTCCCTATCTGCCCCTCACGCATGGTGGGCTTTCTCTAAGAATCACAGGTTTTACAAATGCCATCTGTGGCCAGGCACCCTCCAGGTGCCCTCCAGGGGGCTGGGGGCAGCCATGGTGGATCGGGGCCCAGCTGGTGGGAAGTGAGAGGCAGCGGGGCAGCCCAGGAGGGACAGGGTGCCTAGGGAGCCCGAGGCCTGTTCCCTGCTGGAGTGAGTCCAGGAGACCTCTGCCAGTGGCCAGGGTCCTCCCACCCTGCTGTGCACCTGGCATGAGGAGACCAAGGTGGGCCCAGCAATCTCTCACTCTGAGCTTTCTTACCCTTCCCCTTGAGTCCCTGTCCCATAGCATGGGGCAGAGGGCCCTGGGCTCACTAGGTAGTAGGTGAGCACCTGGTGCCAGAAGCCTTTGCTTCCTCCAGCTGCTGAGCCAGGATTCAGTGAAAAGAGGCAGGAGCCCACGTCCCAAGTCATCCTTCGTGCCTGAGCTGGGTGCAACTACCTGCTCGTTTATTTACCTGCCCGCCCAGAGGTCTCAGAGACCCTTGTCTCTGGTCTAGGGGTGGCAAGGGTATGGGAGAATGGGCTTTGGAGCTAGAAGACTGCTGTTCCCACACTAGATCTTTTGGGGTTTCCAGGACACCCCTGCAAAAGCCTCCAGGGAACTGTTGACCGCTGTGGCTGAGTCCAGAGACCTGGGGTGGGGTGAGTGTCAGGACCAGAGCCAGGCAAAGGGGCTCACACGTGTCCCCCGTCCTCACCTGAGAAGGAAATTGACCTGGCTTTGTGCAGGTGGGAGGTGGAGCCCTGATGGGGAGATTTGAGGAAGGGGTCAGCTAGAGGGATTGTCCCTGGGGCTGATGTGGCCTTAAGAGTCCCTAGATCTTTGCTGGCATATTGTATGGGGGGTCCCCCTGGCAGCTGCAGCCCACCAAAGGACACAGAATAGGGGTCTGGTTTCTTCATCCTCAAAGGTCATAAGTCCTTGCAGAGAAGCCACCATGCAGCCTGCCCAGGGCTCATGTCCTGGAAGCCTCCCAGATGCTGCATCCAGGCGGGTGCCGGGCCTGTGCCGGGGTGAAGTTGACTTCGGAGGATCTGGGAAGAAGCGAGGCAAGGTAGGGGTGGCCCCACCCGAGTGACCTTGCCATGCCCAAAGCCCTGAGGCTGAGCACCCAGTGCTCACCTACTCAGGGGCCACTTCCCCGGGCCAGGCTCAGAGCCCCCAGACCAGATGGCTGGCATTTGGGAGCAGGGGTAACTCTGGCTGCTATCCCCTAGCCATAATTGGAATTCCGAGGGTCCACCTGAGAGATCTAGGAGACACTGGGGTCAGGTGTGTCCAGATCACTCTGCCCAGCCTCTTGACTGAGGAGGAAGCCACACCTTCCCAGGTCTCAATCACCTGGCCACGTGGAAGTTCAGGAAGGTCCTCTCCTGCCCTCAGAGGGCCTCAGTGGTCTCTCCTCCTGCTACCTACCCCATCTCTCAGTGTCGCGGCTCAGTGCCCAGTGTCCCCTGAACCCCAGGCTCCTCCAGTTCCCCCACCTGAGCCCACTTGCACCTTACCCCACAGTTTGTGAAGGTGCCCAGCAGTGTGGCCCCCGCTGCGCTCTTCAACCTGCTGCTCACTGAATGGCACCTGCCGGCCCCCAACCTGGTAGTGTCCCTGGTGGGCGAGGAGCGGCCCTTCCCCATGAAAGCCTGGCTGCGGGACATCCTACGCAAAGGGCTGGTGAAAGCGGCTCAGAGCACCGGTGAGGCTCCCATTGCTGCTCCAGGCCTGGGTGGAGCTCCAGGAAGGACCGCCACCCAACCCCTGCGCCGTTGTTTGTTATTTCCTATCCTTGGCCCCCTTGGTGGCGCCCAGGGCTGCAGAAGCAGCTCTTGGGATACACTGCAAATGAGGCCATGGGTCCTGCCCCACTGTGGGCCACCTCTCACTCCCAGGGCCCACAGGCCTGGGGGAGGGAGGAGGGCCCACTGCCACTTGCCTGTGCCAATGCCCTGGGGGGTAGCCAGTGGGGTGCCTACATCAGCCCTCATGTCCCCTGGTCATTGATGTCAGAATCAAGTTATGGAGCTTTATTTTGAGGCTAACTCTGCCTATAGAAGCCTGGCAGGACTGGGATTTCTAAATTCTTCACTGCAGAGAGGATCTTAGCTCATGGCTGCAAACAGCCATGGCTGAGGGCTTTGTAACCAGAGTCCTGGTCCAGCAGGGGTTTGGGGCAGAGTTGTGTCCTGCTGTGTCCAGGTTGCGTGCAGCCATGGTATAGGGCATAGGGTTAACACACACTCTGCAGACCAGCAGGAGGGACTACTGCCACTTCATCGGGCTGGAGACTTGGCTCTGGGCTCCGCCAGCCCCAAGCTGCTCAGTGGCCTTAGGTAGGCTCCTTGCCCTCTTGAGTCTCAGTTTCCCCACCAGTGGTTCTTAGGTCATTGGCCATGGTTAGCCCAAGGGTTTAGGACCCACCTGCTGAAACTGGGCAGGTGGGAAGGACCCAGGGACACAACGAGCCTTCCCTCGCTCCATCTCTGCAGGTGCCTGGATCCTGACCAGTGCTCTCCGCGTGGGCCTGGCCCGGCATGTCGGGCAGGCTGTGCGCGACCATTCTCTGGCCAGCACATCGACCAAGATCTGCATGGTGGCCATCGGCATCGCCTCACTGGGCCACATTCTGCACCGTCGGCTTCTGGATGATGCCCAGGTGAGTGTCTGGCTGGCAATACAGTGGTTGCTAGGGATCAGTGGGCCTGGGAGGCTGAAGGGAGATGAACAGGTCAGTTCCTGGCCTCAGGGCTTACAGGGATGAAGGAGGCCCTGCAGGATGGGAACCACAGACTGAAACTGCGCAGGAGTAGGCGGGTGTGGAGCGCCAGGGTGCAACACCAGCATAGACCACCAGGAGGCAGCATTGCTCAAGAGGACAAATCCACTGTGGCGTAGATTTGTGCCATCAGGAGTCTGCGTGACCCCAGCCCTGATGGGCCACTGCACCCAATCGCTGTGTAACCTTGACCAAGAACCTTTCCAGGCTGGTTCTTGTTCACATCCCCCATCCCGGGGTCCATCCACAACAGAGTGAAGTAGAGGCCCTGGAGGCCCCTGATGAGGTCTGAACTCTAGCCCAGAGGAGACTAAGGAGGAGCTTCCGAAGGCCTGGCCGTCTCCATGTTCTGTCTGTCCAAGGGGGCCCGTTCCCCAGCCCAGCCTCCCTCCCACCGAGGAGAGAGGAGACAGAAGTCTTACCTGGGCCCCATAGCTCGGTGGAAGGGAGGGTTCTGCAGCATTGAGCCCAGGCTGCTTCCCGAGGGCTCGGCCTTGTCTGTCTCCTGCATGGCACAGGAGGACACTCCCATCCACTACCCTGAAGATGATGGTGGCAGCCAGGGCCCCCTCGGCCCCCTGGACAGCAATCTCTCCCACTTCATCCTGGTGGAGCCAGGCACTCCTGGGACGAGGGATGAGCTGGCAGAGCTACGGCTGAGGCTGGAGGAGCACATCTCCCAGCAGAGGACGGGCTACGGGGGTGAGGCCCCTGACCCCTGGGGAATCTGCCTGGGGCCCAGTGAGCATGAGGACCTGGCATGCAGCAGTGGGGAGGGACTCTAGGAAGGGTGAGGCAGGCGGTCCCCCCCTCACATGCCTGAGCATTGAGTTCTGGGCTGCATGGGGCCTCAGAGGAGGAGCTGAGAGGCAGGGCTGGCAGAGGGGTGCATCTGGGCGGCAGCCTCACCAGTCAGTGACAGAAGGTGGTTGCAGCTCTGTTTTCACTGGGGCTTCCTTGGCTGTAGGCTCTGGCTACAGGATCGAGGCTTTAAGAAGCAAGGAGAGGCCAGCTTTGGTGGTGCATGCCTGTAATCCCAGCACTTTGGGAGGCAGAGGCAGAAAGATCTCAGTTAGAGGCCAGGATGAGCAACTGAACAACTTAGGGAGATCCTGACTCAAAATTTTAAAAATGGAAAGGGCTGGAATTGTGGCTCAGAGTAAAGACACTGGGTTCAGTATCTAACACTGAAGGTGGGGAAGGAAGAGGAAGGAAGGGGCCAAAAGATATATGTGGTTTTAAGAGGCCCACGTCCCACCACTGACCCCAAAGCACATCACCACCAAGGGGCAGCTTTGCCCAAGAACGGGTGCCACCGTGGCTGGATTTACCAGGAAAATACTAGCGTGTTAAAAATATTTATAAACACAGCATATTGTTTATAATATGGATGAATAGTATAGAATATAAATAAGCAAAAATGCAGCTGCTTTGTAAGGCCAACTTGGTAAGATGTGCTTTACAGTGAGAACCCAAAGTGTCCAATTCCAGCAACATGTAGGCAGAATGTCCATTAGAATGGAGTAGATCAAAGAGGGAGTGTTTTGGACCCCTCCAGCCTGCAAAGCCTCTAGGGAGAACTGGGCTTCCTGGGTCTTCTGTTGTGGAGCAAGTTGCCAAGAAAGCCCGGAGAAGTCAGTAGTCACCCACTGGGAAGCTGACCCTCCAGCAGGGGGTGTTCTGTTGAGGAAAGGGGCCTCGTGACTGAGCCGCAAGCATGGGCCAAGTTGGCCACACAGCACTGGGCTGGCAGGGCTGGACATTCGACACGACGTTGAAATCACTCTGTGCGGGCTGTAAGTGACCATCTTGGACAGAGTAGATGTAGAACTGTAGTCTAGATCATCAGGCCCCGAGGCTTCGATATGCTTCCTAGAGCTCAGCCTCTATTAGGAGAAAAATCTTTCACCAGCTGTACCCAGAGATGTGGCAGATTGAGGCCTCGAGGTCAGGTTGGTCATCACGTTGCCAGGAGGGTCCCCCAGCTCCTTGCCCATTAGGCTGGTTCATGCTGAACGCTGGGGAGTCCTCATGGCTGCTTGTCCCCAGGCACTGGCAGTATCGAGATTCCTGTTCTTTGCCTGCTGGTCAATGGCGATCCCAGCACCCTGGAGGTAGGAGCCTCGAGGAGGTGTGGGCCTGGCTGAAGCCCTCAGGAGGGGTGGCGGGTCCACAGGAAACCCTGGGGCAAGGCAAGAAGGGGGCACCCCATGTGTGCGTCCAGAAGTCAGCCAGGCTGATCAAGTTCTGCTCCACCCTCCCTGCCCACTCAGAGGATGTCCAAGGCCGTGGAGCAGGCTGCCCCATGGCTGATCCTGGCAGGCTCGGGGGGCATTGCGGATGTGCTTGCTGCCCTGGTGAACCAGCCCCATCTCCTGGTGCCCCAGGTGGCTGAGAAGCAGTTGAGAGAAAAGTTCCCAGGAGAGCACTTCTCCTGGGAGGCCGTTATGCACTGGACCAAGCTGGTACGTGATGCCCGGGGGTGGTGGACTCTGGGCATCTCAGTCTCCCAACTCTCCTTCTGGGGTGGGGCTCGTCCTTCAGGAAATCCCCGGAAGGGCAGTCTCTGTGCCATCCTTGTCACTGGGCACAGGCCCTTTGCCTCCAGCTGCCAGGCCCCTGCCCTCCTGCATCAGGCCC